TGAGGATATTAACCTCCGAATTATCTATGTGATAATTAGATGAAAATCAAGAGATATTCATATTAGAATATACTTGGGATTTTCATGGGCTTTTCAGTCTTTGTACACTTTTCCCAACCACTATATAAAGAGGCTTTGGGGAAGAGAGAATAAATAAGAAACACAAGTTTTTCCACAGTTCAAATATTCTAGTTAGGTCTTTAGAGCTATCACTTTCGGCCCTAGGTCTTGGAAAAAGAAAACCAGGGGGCAACTCGACATACCGTAGCCAACCCGATGACCTGCGAGGTTCTAAACGTGCACGGATGGTCAGAGCAGTTGTTTGTGTTTGTAAAAGCATGTTGAGATTCAAGCTTCTGCATTAAAGGTACACGCGTCCTTTCGAATGTATTTATAGTCTTCCAACAGGTGATACGAAATGCAGATACATGAAATTGGGAGGAAGGTATGGACAAGCATAGGAGAAGAACAGGATGCAGCAAAGAAGAAATTTCTCGACTGCATAAGCATGTTAGAAGGAGAGCTCAGAGACAAGCCTTACTTTGGGCGTGAAACCTTCAAATTTGTGGATGTGGCGTTTATTCCATTTTATAGTTGGTTTTCTGTCTATGAGAAATTTGGAAACTTCAGCGTGGAAACAGATCACCCAAAGTTTATTGCCTGGGTTAAAAGGTGTTTGGAGAAGGAGAGTGTATCCAAGTTGCTTCTTGACCCAAAAAAGGTCTACAATTTCCTCTTGCAAATGAGGAACAAACTCATAATGGAGTAGATTTTGGAGCAAGTGTGGGAAGAAGCTAGTGATTATCAATGTTCAACCTGTATTTGGTTTTTTTGAATTAGAATAAAATGACACTTGACGAAGGTTTCTACTGTATTTGGCACTTTGTTTCACCTCTGGTCATATGTTGTTATCTTTGTTATTTGCTTTTGTAATTAAATTATCATATTGTTGTTAACTTGTTATAGTAAGCAATATTATGTGACAAAGTCTTCATATTGAATGTTGGATTATTGGGTGTCACTGGTTGTACAACCATGAGTTTATCTCTCTTATTAGAACAATATTATGTGACCAAGTCTTCATATTGAATGCTGGAGTATTGGGTGTCACCGGTTGCGTACAACCATGAGTTCATCTCTCTTATTAGGTAACAAGAGTCATGGTTGTATTCAACAGATGATGGGGTAGATTTTCTCTTTATTATCCAACTTTTGTGGCGAGTTATATATTAGTTAAAGTGCAAATAGTAGTCTGTTGTCCCACATTGACGAAGTGCATATGTAATACCAATTGTAACTCCTATATATACTCCACTTTGGAGATTAATGAATATATAAGAAATTCTCAAATATTGTCATATATATATTTTTGGTATTTACCATGTTTAATTTGACATGGCATTATAGCAATTTCACATGGCATCAGAGTAATGCCACATACAGTACAGTGAACAGCGCCTTGCTACGTTGTGTGAACAGTGATTTGCTACAATATTCTGGTAAATTTTTTTCATTCCGCTGCGTATCTTTTATGCCTTTATTATTCGTGATTTAGTTTAATGGCTCAAAATAATCATAATGTTGTTATGCATCTTGGTGGAACAAATATATGGATAATTGACACTGGGGCCACTGATCATGTGACTAGTGACCCTAAAGTGTTTAATGAGTTATGTGACTATGTTCATGATCCGTATATTATTAATGGAAATGGAGCACCTTCCCCTGTGAAGGGTGACGATACTATCTCTCTTACTCCGACCTTATCACTGGTCTGTGCTTTACTTGTTTGTGATGTTAAGTGCAATCTTTTGTCGGTAGGAAAACTACTTGATACCTTATATTGTTCTGCTCACTTTTACCCTAAATATTGTTATTTTGAAGACATTCAAACTCAAAAGATAATTGGTCGTGGTAAAAGAATAGGGAGTTTGTACATCTTGACTATGGAGGATACTGTTGTTTCGGGTTCAAATAATCATCAAGTTTTAAGTGCTAAAGTTGATGACAAAATCGTCAAACAATGGAGGTTGCTCGCTCATTGATGTTGGATAAATGTGTTCCTAATCATTTATGGGGTCATGTTGTTTTGGCTGCTGTGTATTTGATAAATCGTGTTCCAAGTAAGGTTCTTGATTTTCAGACATCGCTTGATGTGCTACAAAAACATGTTTCTCTTGTTTTTATATCAAAACTTTTTTCGAATGTGTTTAGGTGTATTGCGTATGTGCATGTCTACCCTTATCAGTGGAGTAAACTTGATGCATGTGCTCTCTGACGTGTCTTTATTGGGTATGCTAACAATCAGAAAGGCTATAAGCGTTATCATCCTCCGACTCAGAAAACTTATATTACCATGGATATCACCTTCCAGAAGGAAGTTTCGTATTTTGTGAAGCCCTCTTCCGCCTCTCCACTTCAGGAGGAGAAGGGGAGTGAAGTGCAGATTCAAAGAGATGGTATGGATGATGTGTTACAAGCAGAGTTGGGGACAAAACCTATTATGTTGCGTGATACTGATAAGTTGGCTATGGATAGTGATCGATCAATTGTCATTCCCGAAACTATTTCTACTGACGACATATTAGATATGCCCAACGAGTTACCTGTTAGTGTGTCTGACGAATTACCTTCTGATGATCGGTTGCCTATTGTTGGTATGTCTAACAAGTTGTCTGATGATGGTTCGTCCAGTGACGATTCTTCTAACAGTTTGTTACTAGATGGTGACATACATGAGGTAAATTCTGATGATTCTTCTACTTATCAGTTGCCTTCACGAGCTAATTGTGGAAAACCTAAAATACAATATGAGCATGATATGCCTACCAAAGCCAAATATCCTATCAACAATTATGTGTCTATTCATCATTTGTCCAAACCATATGCATCTTACATATGTCAGCTATCTAGTGTATCAATTCCAATAAAATTGCATGACGCTTTGTTTGACCCTAAGTGGGTTAATGCCATGAGAGTTGAGATGGAAGCTTTGGAAAAGAATTCCACTTGGGATTTGGTTCCTATACCAAACGGGAAGAAAGTTGTTGGATGTAGATGGGTGTTCACTATTAAGCACAAAGCAGATGGTTCTATTGACCGGTATAAAGCTAGATTAGTTGCTAAAGGTTATACTCAAACCTATGGGGTGGACTATCAGGAGACTTTTGCTCCTATTGCCAAACTTAATATTGTGCGTGTTCTTCTGTCCTTAGTAGCAAACCAGGATTGGCCTTTATTGCAGTTTGATGTTAAGAATGTTTTCCTTCATAGTGATCTTAAGGAGGAAGTTTATGTGGATCTCCCAGCTGGTATCAAAACATCTCCTAGAAAAGGTGTTGTATGCAGGTTGCTAAAGGCTTTATATGGTTTCAAACAATCTCCTAAAGTGTGGTTTGGGAGGTTTACAAGTTCAATGAAGAAGTTTGGGTATGTCCAAAGTCATTCTGATCATACTTTGTTTCTAAAGTGACAAAATGGTAAGCTAACGGCATTGATTATTTATGTTGATGATTAGTGATGATCAGAATGAGATACAACGCCTTCAAAAGTACCTAGCGATTGAATTTGAGATGAAAGAATTGGGTGAATTGAAGTATTTTCTTGGAATCGAGGTTGCACGATCCAAGCATGGTATTTTTCTGTCTCAACGAAAGTATGTTCTTGATTTGTTAGCTGAAAGAGGTAGATTGCAAACATGTTGATACTCCGATCGAGCAGAATCATCATCTGGGCTTATTTTCGAATCAAGTTCCTACTCATAAGGAATTGTATCAGAGGCTTATGGGGAGATTAATTTATTTGTCTCACACTTATCCTGACATTGCTTATGCAGTTATTGTGGTAAGTCAGTTTATACACTCACCTAGTGAAGCTCAAATGGATGCAGTAATCCGTATTTTGAGGTACTTGAAGATAGCTCCTGACAAAGGCTTGGGTTTCTCCAAGAATGGTCATTTGAATGTCGAAGGGTATACAGATGCAAATTGGGCAAGTTCTATCACTGGTCGGCGATCTACATCTGGATACTTTACGTTTATGGGTGGTAATCTAATTATATGGAGAAGCAAGAAACAAAAAGTGTTGGCTAGGTCAAGTGTTGAAGCTGAGTTTCATGGTATGTCTCATGGTGTATGTGAGTTGTGGTTGAAAAAATTGTTGAGAGATCTTGGATTTAAACCCAAGGGTGCTATGAAACTCCATTGTGATAACAAGGCTGCTATTGAGATTGCTCGTGCAACATGATCAAACAAAACATGTGGAGATTGATCGACATTTCATCAAGGAAAAATTGGATGCTGGAATTATTATGTTTTCGTTTGTGGGATCTGAAGATCAATTGGTTGATGTACTTACTACGGCTTTGTCCAATAGTGTGTTTTCCAACTCGCTTAACAAGTTGAGCATGTGTAACATCTTTGCTCTAACTTGAGAGGGAGTGTTGCGAGTTACATATTAGTTAAAGTGTAAATAGTAGTTTGTTGTCTCACATTGACGAAGTGTATATATAATACCAATTGTAACTCCTATATATACTTCACTTTGGAGATTAATGAATATATAAGAAATTCTCAAATATTGTCATATATATTTTTGATATTCACCATGTTTAGTTTGACAACTTTGAGTTAACTTTTCCCAGGCATGCGAGATCTTACATTTTGCATGCAGGATTTCCAGCATTATATATCCAACAATACTTTTTGCACCAAAAGTTTAGGTTTCAATTGTATAGTAATTTTATGAACAATGGCAACAACATCATCATTAACAGAATTTGGTTTATTTAATAAAATTTTAAAAAAATCCCAAAAGGCATGGAATCCAGAAGATTACATGCAGAATGCAACATCCTGGCTTATTTTATAAACAAGTACAATTACATGCAGTGCAGGTGAGTTGTAGCTATCTTTATCTAAACCATCTCATTGGTCTATATGGTAAAAGATAATAGTGTCCAAGTTCAAAGGCCCTATAAGAATTTTTATTTATTTTCCATTTGACCTCTCAGTTGAATTTAAGAGATCCCACTAAGCCACTCAGAGCATTTCAAGTCTCGAGATAAATCATTACACCCCAAAACACACACACAGTCCCCCCACAGTGCCAGCAACAATGGCTGAGATTGCAATCTCAATCTCTCAGAAACTCACATGACCAGTCTCTCTCAATCCGCCATGTTTTGCAAAAATCAAGGCACATCAAGTTCACAATGATGGGTAACAAGAAGCATAAACTTGGTGGTGGAATCCATGGAGGAGGAGAAGAAGAGGAAGAGGCAGATGAAGAAGAAAACTGAGACAAGAATTTGCTGTAAAGTTTGGTTTAGAGTTGACTTGTTTATTTTATTTTCTTTTCATTTCACTGCTTAAGATTGTGACTTTCACGGCCTCCCTCCACTTTCTTGCGTTGATCATTCAATCTTTTCTTCTATTTTTGTTGTTCGCCTCTCGTTTTTTCTCTGTAAAGTTCTCTCTCTCTCTCTCTCTCTCTCTCTCTCTCTCTCTTCCTTATCTTTTACAGTCTGACTCTATTCATTGCATTGTGGGCTTTTTTGTGTGGTTTTCTTGTTCAGTGGCTTTAAAACTTAGTTGGGTTTCGGTCCCTTTAAGTTAATGCCACCGTTGAGACCATATTTTCATTTAGTTTTCCACAAACGTAGTTGTTCTCGCCTAACCCCCTATTTCCTTCGGTATTTTTATTTAAAAATAATAATAATAATTTGTATTTTTGGATACCATGCATGGAGCACTACCCCCCCTTGTATTCCAATTTCAGTTTCAATCTTGTATCCCAATTTCAGTTTTCAATATTGCCTCTGAGTCTCTTTTGTTCCGAAGTTTGCTTTGATATATCAGCTTTTTAATCTCCTCCACAGCCTTCACTGATCATCATATTCTTGTTCCATTGAGATGTTCTAACATAAAAAAAATTCCCTAATTGTTACCCAATTGAAGGATTTGAAGTGCATATTTCCTTCAAAAAAATTCTCATGCCACAAAACTTGCTGAGCAAACAATGTAATTTTCTTAATTTGTGTACGTAGAAATGGCTTGGCAGGTTAGTCATCTCCTACAAATGTTGTTCCACATAGCACTCATATTTTCTCTCACTTCTGCCTCCATGAACTCATTAGACCAAGAGGCTCTTTCCCTTTTGGAGTTCAAAAGATCACTTTCTGATCCAAGCAACAATCTTGAAACCTGGAATTCAGCATATTCAAATCCTTGCAATTGGACCGGAGTTCGTTGTTCTGATTTCAAGGTAACTTCTATAAATCTCAATGGACTTAATTTGTCTGGCACTTTGTCTCCAAGCATTTGTAATCTTCCTTACTTAACTGAATTCAACGTGTCCAAGAACTTCTTCTCTGGTCCTTTCCCTAAGGGTTTGGCAAATTGTCATAATCTTGAGATTCTAGACTTGTGCACAAATAGGTTTCATGGAGAAATGTTGACCCCTTTCTGCAAAATGACCAACCTTAGAAAGCTTAACCTCTGTGAGAATTATGTGTTTGGTGAAATGCCTGAGGATATAGGGAATTTAGCTTCACTTGAAGAGCTTTTCATTTACAGTAATAATCTTACCGGTGTCATTCCCACATCGATTAGTAAGTTGAAAAGGCTCAAGGTCATCAGAGCGGGTAAAAACTTGCTTTCAGGGCCAATACCAACTGCTATTGGTGAGTGCGAGAGCTTAGAAGTTCTTGGGTTGGCACAGAATCAGTTAGAAGGATCGCTTCCGAGGGAGCTTCACAAGCTCCAAAATCTGACTGATTTGATCCTCTGGCAAAACCAATTAAGTGGTGAGATTCCTCCTGAGATTGGTAATATAAGTAGGCTGCAGTTGCTTGCCGTGCATGTCAATTCTTTCAGTGGATCGCCCCCGAAAGAACTTGGGAGGTTATCCCAGCTCCAAAGATTGTATATCTATACCAACCAGCTGAATGGAACAATTCCAAGAGAGCTAGGGAATTGTACCAATGCTGTTGAGATAGACCTTTCTGAAAATCAGTTAACTGGATTCATCCCCCGGGAGTTGGGTTACATCCCTAATCTCCACCTGCTTCACCTTTTTGAGAACCTGCTTCGAGGAAATATTCCTAGGGAGCTTGGGCGGTTGAAGATGCTGCAGAGGTTAGATTTATCGATAAATCATTTGACAGGCACAATTCCACTGGAGTTTCAGAATCTCACTTGCATGGATGATTTGCAACTGTTTGATAATCATCTTGAGGGTAGAATTCCGCCTAACCTCGGAGCTAACAGTAACCTCACAATACTGGACATTTCTGCAAATAAGCTTGTTGGTAGAATACCTCCACATCTTTGTAAGTATCAGAGGTTAGTGTTTCTAAGCCTCGGTTCCAATAGGTTGTCCGGAAATATTCCATACGGTCTTAAGACATGCAAGTCTCTGATGCAGCTAATGCTAGGAGATAACCATCTTACAGGAAGCCTCCCTATGGAGTTATATAACCTTTCTGCTCTTGAAGTCTTTCAAAACCGGTTCTCAGGACCAATACCTCCAGAGGTAGGCAGGCTTATAAGTTTAGAAAGGCTGCTCTTGTCAGATAACTACTTTGTTGGGTACATTCCTCCTGAGATTGTGAATCTATCACAGCTTGTGACCTTCAACGTTTCCTCTAACAGACTCTCGGGTAGCATTCCTCATGAGCTTGGAAATTTAACAAAATTACAAAGGCTTGATCTTAGTAGGAACCACTTCACTGGAAATCTCCCAGAAGAACTTGGAAAGCTAGTGAATCTAGAACTTTTGAAACTATCTGATAACAGTTTGATGGGAGGAATACCAGGGACTCTAGGGAGCCTGGCCCGACTGACGGAGTTGCAGATGGGAGGAAATCACTTTTCTGGTAGCATCCCTGTTGAGATGGGCCAACTTATTGCTCTACAGATTTCCCTCAACATCAGTCATAACAATCTTTCGAGTACAATTCCTGAAAACTTGGGGAACTTGCAGATGTTGGAATCTCTCTACTTGAATGACAATCAGCTTGTTGGTGAAATTCCTGCCTCAATTGGTGAGTTGCTTAGCCTTTTGGTGTGCAACCTTTCTAACAATAACCTAGTGGGAACCGTGCCCAACACCTCTGTATTTCGAAGGATGGATTCTACGAATTTTGCAGGAAACGATGGCTTGTGCAGATCAGTTTCTAGTAGTTGTCACTCTGCAGCTCCATCTACTACTCCAAAGCGAAGCTGGATACAGGACGGTTCATCTAGAGAGAAAATAGTGACCATTATATCCGTTATAATTGGATTAATCTCCTTGTCTTTTATAGTGGGTTTCTGTTGGGCAATGAAGCGCCGAAAGCCTACTTTTGTTTCACTTGACGATCACACAAAGCCTGCAGAAGTGTTCGATAACTATTACTTTCCTAAGGAAGGTTTCAAATACCAGGACCTTGTTGAAGCTACCAGCAGTTTTTCAGACAGTGCAATTCTTGGAAAAGGAGCCTGTGGTATTGTGTACAAAGCTGTAATGTCTGACGGTGAGGTCATTGCGGTAAAAAAGCTAAAGGCGCAAGGAGAAGGAGTAAGTGTTGATAGCAGCTTCCGCGCTGAGATATCAACCCTTGGCAAGATCAGGCATTGTAACATTGTGAAGCTCTATGGCTTCTGCTGCCACCAAGACTCAAATCTTCTCTTGTATGAGTACATGGAAAATGGAAGTCTAGGAGAACATCTCCATGGAAATGAACAAAGATGTTTTCTAGACTGGAACGCTCGATATAAGATTGCTCTTGGAGCAGCAGAGGGTTTGTGCTATCTTCATTACGATTGTAAGCCCCAAATCATCCACCGCGACATAAAGTCAAATAACATTTTATTGGATCAAGTTCTTCAAGCACACGTAGGAGACTTTGGCTTGGCTAAATTGATTGAGCTCCCATACTCAAAATCCATGTCCGCTGTTGCAGGCTCATATGGCTACATTGCCCCAGGTAACAAAAGAGTTCATAGTATTCTTTTGTTTTCACTCATTCTTCTCGTATATTCTCTTCACTAGATAGTACCACATCACAGTTGCTTGAACACGGCTCTCCCATAATGTGCATATCCTAATTTATATCGATGTCCGTCTATTTAATGATTTACTTAACACACCTTCTTTATGTTCTAATTTTTAACTGCAAACTGCTAATGCTGTAAACCTCATTCGAGTTATTCCAATATACTTGATATCACGGATTAAGTCATGATTTCAAGCATTACTCAAAATTGTCCAACATTTCAAGGGAGATGAAATTACCATCTCAAACCTGAATCCCGTACCTTCTTATGCAATTTAGAAATGTTTGAAGTGAAGAAAGATTGACTGTTCATTTCTGAGTTGTTGTTGTTGCTCTGTTGTGTATCAGTTGGCGTATGAACTTACAATACTGAAATCTTGTTGGTACTTCTAACCGTATATTTTTCTTGGAATTCATTTCAGAGTACGCATACACAATGAAAGTGACTGAGAAATGTGACATATATAGCTTTGGGGTTGTACTGCTGGAACTAGTAACCGGGAAGTCACCTGTTCAACCGCTGGAGCAGGGAGGAGACCTCGTCACTTGGGTGAGAAGGGCAATAAATAATGGAGTGGTAACGGCTGAAATATTTGACAAGAGGGTAGATCTGACCGTGAAAAGGACAGTTGAGGAAATGACCCTATTTCTCAAGATTGCATTGTTCTGCACTAGTACATCCCCAGTTAACAGGCCAACAATGAGGGAGGTGATCGCAATGATGATTGATGCTAGGGCATCTGTGAGCAATTTCTCATCATCACCGACATCCGAGAGTCCTTTAGATGAAGGCACTTCAAGAGGTGAGAAAAAAATCAACTTATTTCTCCGTTGTGGAAGTTGTGACTGCTTTATGCATTTTAAGGTTCTTCACAAATGCTTCCTCTCAAAGTCCCTTTCATAGTAAAAAAAAACCTAAATCCCCGTTTCGAAGAAAATAAACCCATGATGCCAACTGCTACTGCACCATTGAAGCGTAACTTTTTTCAGTAGTTCGACTATTTAAGTGTTTCTCGTTAACATTATCATTTTTTGGGGGTTCCTGATGATCTAATGCCCCAATTATTCTGATTAAAAGTGATGAACTGCTTAACCAAACTACATTATCTTCCAATTTCCACCGAAGGGAAACTTGTTATTTTTGTCCTATTTCGTGTAATTAAAGATTTCTCAGAGACTGACGCTTGCATAATTATGAAAATTTTCAGATTCCATGGGATTATAGGCTCACTCCATCTCCATGAAAGGGTGCTAAGATTCTGCATGTCCTCCCATACTACTACACATTGAACGAGTGATCTGCATTCGCACTCGGATTGCTTGAGAAAATAAAGATTTTATCAGCAACGATCTGCATTTTGACTAACCATCTGCTCTAGCTCGATCAAATGTACTAAGATTTAAAAGTGGTTTAGAAGCATAATAATTTCTCTGTAAACAAAACTCTCCACTTCGACCTAATCCCAAAATCTATCAAGCATCACTCTATAGTTTCTCTTTTATCACGTATATCACTGTTTCTAATTGGGATGTCGGAGAAAAGAGGGTTTTATCATAAAAAAAAGTCTCGGTGCAACTAGGAGTGGAACTATTCAATATAAGTTGTAATTTACACTGTCAAGTTTCTGACGAGGGGATTGCACTCTTCAACATGGGAAGGAAGCCTCCTGCTAGCAGGCATGCTTAACACAAGCAACCAGGAATTTGACTTGTAGGTATGAACCATTCACTAATTAACCAAATGGCAGGAAGCAATTATTTTGCAACTTTTATTAGGTGAATGTAGAATTTGCATGTTATCTCAAGATCTGAGCTGAGTACTAATTGGTTAAATACTGTTGAATCCTATGAGCCAGCTGATGTGGCCCTGCACATATGCAAGGAAATTTGAGAAATGCATATTAATTCTCCATTGGATCAGTCTAGATGCCTATGGTGTAGGTCTGCAAAACCTAATTCCTGATAACCAACAATTTATGAATCTTTTAGCTTTTTCTCCTCTGCCCACTGTAGTTAATTAGAGTGGTTGGAAAAGCTAGCAAAAGGGTTTAAAGGAAACATAAGAAGGATGAGCAAGAAAACAGCGTGACACAATGCTACGCCAGTTCAGTAGTACGGATTTTATTAATCGTTGAGCGGAATTTAACTTATTACTGATTTTTCAATCTTTTGACGGTTCTTGGTTTGTTTATTCATTTACTAAAAAAATTAGATGCCAATTGTAGAAGAAAAAAAACAGATTAGAGTGGTTCTTAATAGCAAATAGAAAAGAGAGATATTTGGTCAGAAAGTTCATCAAAATTAAGAGGAGCAATTCAAATTTGGGTGTAAATGAGAGAGCGTATTGCTCTAGCCAATTTGACTAAGCCTAAGTATGCAAACATATGCTATAATCGTGACATCTGTGCGATATGTGAGCAACAATACAACGAATCGGTATATGGTATGAGACACATCAACATTAGTTATATGACTCTCGTGAGGTATGAGCGACTATCCGTTGCACAACTCTCAAAGTAAGTGAAAAACAATACAGATATACAAGATATGTTTCCATAAACGGATCGAAAACATATCATCATGAATGGATAATAGATATGTACCAAAACCAGAGACATTTCCAATTAAAAAAGAAAAAACTTGAGTGACTGAATTAGACAATAATCAAAGCTCAAAAAAGACTTAAATATAAATCTTCTATTTTATTTTAGAAATTAAAATATAGTCATGATTGTATAACGCCGATTCATATACATTAAAATTCACACAAAAAAGTCCCTCACACGATCACATCTCTCTGCCGAGACTGCTGCTGCTGCACTACCTATTTATACAAACTCTTCGCTGGATTTTCACCTTTTACCCCACAACAAAATAGGGTATTCATCTCACCACTTTATTACTGACATACTGATAGTAATTACTGTTACTGTGTCTATTATTCTTGTAATTAGATGATGATCTAGTCCTCACAAATTGACCTAGTGCCTTCCACCAACACTTCCTTCTCTTCTGTGTGGGCCCAACCAGTATGTTTCCGTGGGGCTTACTAGGCTTCCTTCTGAGCCCATTAACCTCGGGTGGCCTGTAAGTCCGGATCAAGGCCCAATTAATCCCAACAAAAAACGGGTGCTGTTTAATTTCTGTGGCCCCCTTGGCGCACCCCAGCCTCCTCCGTGGATCCCTCACCAGCAGCCTCTCAATCAAATCCCTCGCCTCCTTCATTCCCTCCTCTTCTTCCTCCGCCACGCGGAACCTCACCCCGCTGCTCGCAGCAATATTACGCAGGGTATTTTCTTTAGTCACGCCCTTAAACGGCGTCGTTCCGTGGAGGAGCTCGTAGATAAACACTCCGAAAGCCCACCAGTCAACGCCGTTACCGTGGCCGTTACCTGATATCAACTCCGGGGCTAGATACTCGTGAGTCCCAACGCAGGATTTTGAAAACGCGGTTGTCGGCTCCGCCACGAACTCCGCCACCATTTCCTCTTGCTGCTCCCTCCTCGATCCAAAGCAGGAATAAGTACCTTTTCTTTTAGTAGGCCTCGTCTTCTGAACACGGCGGTGTTGCAAGGTGGGGTTCACGTCTCCTTTGAAGCAAAGATCGAAGTCTGACAACATAACATGTCCATCCTCGCGCAGGAGTATGTTTTCGGGTTTCAGGTCCCGATAGACGACTCCCAGCGCGTGGAGGTACTCAAGGGCGACGAGGACTTCTGCCGCGAAGAAGCGAACGGCGGAGACAGGGAGGCGGTTTAGTGGCTGTCTGAGGAGGAGGTTGTGGAGGTCGCCGTTCGGGCAGTAGTCGATGAGGAGGCAGGTGTAGTGGGAGACGTCGATGCGGGCGTAGAGCGTAGGGAGGAAAGGGTGGTCGAGCATGGAGAGGATCTCGGCCTCGGTGCTTACGTGGCCGAGTTTTTTCGGGGTGAGTAAATCTTTATCGACGACTTTTAGGGCGAAGGTGGCGGCGTCAGGGTTGTCACGGTCGTCTCGGAGGCGGCATAGGAAGACGCGGCCGAGGTCTCCTGTGCCGACATGGCGGAGTAGCTTGAGGTGGCGAAGGTGGAGGGTGCGATCGGAAGAGATGGCGGTGGCAGCCTTGATAGCCGTCCAGTGCGGGTCCGACTTGCGGTGGTGGTGGAGGGGATTTGTTGTGGTGGTGGTGGTAGTGGAAGTGGTGGAGAGGCGGTCGTTGAAACTGAGGGTCAGGCTGCTGCGGGCTAAGCTGGAGCGAGCACTTGAGCAGGAAGCGGCGAAGGTGCGATCAGTGAGGGCGGTGGAGGTGGAGGTGCAGCTAGTGAAGCTGAGGTCGAGATCTGCGTAGTCGGATGGGAAACAGGCCAAATGGGTTTCTTTGTCCATGGCGGTTGGATGAGGAGGTTGCGGTGGCGCATGCGCTCTGATGACTGAATATTTTGGATGGACAGATGCAATTGAAATATACAAGTTGATATTTGGGGGGTTTGGGGGATTATAAAAGAATAGAGAGGAAGAGAGAGGGTGGAGGGAAGGTATGTGGGACGTGGTGGGGACTATTAAATGAGGTGTTTGGTTGACCCAAAACTGAGCATTTTTGCATGTAAGTGTGCAGTGGTGGTGGAAAATGGAAGAGAGAGAAAGATGGTAACAGTTAAAAGAAAATTAAGAAAGTGTGCTGGTTGACCAAACCCGAAAGAGATCAGGAGATGATCTTTTTTACCAAGGTCATCGAATCAATTAATTTGGGCTTTTAAATTTTCCTCTAACGATTATCTGTTTTGATTCTTTAAAAGTTATAATAATATTTTGCTGCTAGATAAAAATTCAAAGACCTGAATCACTTGATCCGATGACCTTGGTACAAGATATCTAGAAAGGATCTCTTTCCGACCAAACCCGACCAAACCGACCATTTGCATGTTAATGACAGAGATAAAAAAGAGAGAAAATGAAGGAATACAAGGAATGAGATGACTCAGATGAGGCATCAGGCATATATGAGATTCTGGTCCGCTGCATTTACCATATGTGCAGTTTTTTCTGCATTTTAAAGCAAGTCTGATCCGTCCAACCAGTCAAATGAAATTGTAATTATTCCATATCAACATCAGCTTTAAAAGGAAAACAAAACTAATATGGAAGGAATGATCGAACAGTCGACGAAGAAGAAAAAGGAGGAAATCTGATATAAAAAGGGGTGCTAAATTAATTTTGATTCTAGTTCGCCAGTTATAGCAATCTGAGCATGCAGCTCTTCCAAATCAGAAAAATGCACCCACATTTATATATAGAGACTTCATTGGATTCTATGGCACATCCAATTAACCTATTAATTGTCAGAATAAAACGTACAATTAATGAAGGAATTCTATGGTGAAACAATATCAATCAACTCCATTCATATGATTATTCTCTTCGTAATAGCATTTACAAACATTATTAATTAATTATATGGTACACAACAATATATACGATAAATTGATAAGAGACGAAGGCCTCCAGAGAAAACGCTAGAGAGAAACCTCCAAGAGGCTTCTCCTCCCGTTTCATCGTTTTTTAGACGAACGATAGCAGTTTAATTATAATATTAAAAATTTATACAAATAGAGGACATTCTAGATACCACTTTTTCTACATTTTTTTTTTAATTTCTCTTACTTAATTTATTCTTACACTCAATTTGAAGGACGTCGTTGTGATTTGCACAAAGTACTTTGGGCGACCTTTGTCTAGTGATGACTCTTAGTGGTTATAATGCAACTATTATCCACTACATATTACGTGCAATTGGATAATTGGAGGTTGATTTGTCCTCAAATCTCCTTTGTGTTACAGTATGTTTTTCTTGGCTAATGCGGTGAGATCTGCAACAGCACGATTTTGGCTCGTGGCGGTAGTTATGATTTAGGGCTTTGATTGTTTTGGATTATTGCGGTAGTTGTTTGTGTGAATTTTGTCCGCTTCAGTTTAGTCATTCGAAGTTGTTATTTGTTCGTTATATTAAAATTTGTGTCATCCGTAGGTCTTTAATTCATTGTTAAGGTTGTAATACAGGTGCTGTAAGTAATAATAGGGAAACCACATGCTTATATATTAACTTTTTATTTCTCGCTTATTGCGATCCGAAGAGTTTAATTGTCGTCGTTGAATTAGTTGGGTGGCTAAGATTGTTTTGAATACAGAAACCACTCCCTCGTTGTAATTGTAGAGGAGAAAATTAACTTTAATTAATTAAATCCCATGCAGGAGGGCGACCAGGATAGTGGTTTGAAGAATTGAAGGCGCTGCCAAAGGGTTAGGAGCCGCGTTTATACCGAAGGACGTGAATCAAGTTAAACAATTGAACTTAGCACTGAATCTGAGATGAACGGCTACATATATAATTAATTTATATACTATATAGTCTAGTCCTCTCATTCTCTGTGGATAAATATTTGCATGTAATAGTTTATCGAGAGGTTGTAGCGTTTCGAAAAACTATTACTATAAAGTTACATGCAAGAATCTTTCGGTATAAGTTTATACTAGCGATCCAGCTAAAACGTTACGAATAATATATAGTGAATGTGTTCCATAAGAGTCTCTCCATGTTTGTGATCTGTTCTGATTATTTATTTGTTGATCCTGTGAGGGGTAGGTCGGTTTCCACCAATGGTGTTATTACAACACCAAATGCGCTGCTTGAAAAGCAGGATCTTTATAATTATGTTCATGAGTAATATTAGGAAAACTAAATTTGTAGACGAAGTTTTAAAAATTAAAGGATGTAGAAGTTAATGATTGATTTATTACTTACATGTTGATAAACGTGTTTATTCTTATTGATGACACATTATTTAGTTTACAAATTTAATTTTTAAATTTGGTCTCTCTAGTATTACTTATTATTCAAAGTTACTACACGTCCCTTCGGCCTTGGGATGCTACAGCCCTAGATTTTGGGTGTTGAAATGGATAAGAACTAGCTAGCTAGGGGAAATGGATAAGAACTAGCTAGCTAGGGTTTTAAGTCTTTAATATATAGCACGGCAATACACAAATATGTACACCAACAGGAAAATTTTCAAGAGTGCTTACAAGATCATACATATACAACCGATCGAACATATAACTATTAATTCTTGAGATGAGTTGCAAACATTGATTACAAACATGCAAGAAAGTTATACATTTTCACTCCCTAAGTTATATTTGTTGTATTATTGGTTCATTTGTAGTAACGTATACGTAGTCTGAACCTTTGTTTACTTGTAAATCTTATTTGACATTTATTTTATACGACAATATATTTACATTAAGAGGTTGCAAGAATAAATTAGTATCAAACTCGTCATTCACGATATTTGAACCTAAAATCTCTAATTTACAAGTGGATAGAAATATCTCTAGACCATCATACTAAGTGATCATCCCTACCTAACACTTATACATGCGAATCTGACCTTGATTATATTACATATACAAATTGTAATTCAAATTTGAAATTTCCTTAAATCAACCAATATAAATAATAGTTTTAAAATATCAAGTTTTTAAAAAATTTATTGAATATATTCAACCATATATTCAACATTAACTTCAATTATAAAGAGATTTCAAATGAATCACCTAATTGTTAATTAACAAATAATTAGTAAAACCAATTTCATGAACATTTTCGATCATGTGCATCTCCACTCAAACTATTGTGTTCGAGTTTCGAAATCAATTATTTAGCATGCATTCATGTCATCCACATACTTTATTGTTCATTACGTTAACATTGCATTGCGTCTGAAATTAAAAATAAAAAGCTATTTATATTTGTTCATGTGAAATTTTAAGAATAAAAGTTAAATTCAACGTGTATACTGCAGCCGACTTTTGGCATTGTGAGTAAATTAACGATAATATAACTGGAACCTTCTAATCTCTGCTAATATAAAACTAATTAATTAATCACTCGATGGTTAACTAATGTCTTTTTCTTCTTTTTTTTTTTTGGAAACTAACTGATGTCTTTTTAAACAAGGCAAAGTACGTACCAAACATATGTAGAAATGGTCAATGGGAAGCCATGGATGTGGCCTCATGTGATGGGCCAAGATCACTTCTTCAGGACCCACGTGGAAATGAAGAGAGGATGCTGTCTGCCACGTGCTCAACACTGGCCCTACAATGTCGCTCACACCACCCAATAATAACTCGCTTACATTTGACTCTTTTATTCAATCCCATATTTAATTAGAGAGAGTTAACATTCTTCGTATTTTGTCATTTAATATTACAATTTAATGTTATTTTTTTTACTTGTAAATGAGGATTTTTAGATTCGATTATCACTATAGTCAAATTTAAACTACATTATTACTAAGTCATTGTAAGGTTTTGCCCAATCCTCCGCCTCCTTAGTGTTGTTAAAAAAAAAAACCAGACTTTTTATTTGAACTTTTTATTAAACGCCACACTTCAAATTTGTTATGTGAGAAGGTCCAAATACAAAGATTGCTAGTATTTGTTTATTTAATTTTCTGAAGCATACACAAAATTATGATATTTATTAATTATATATAATAATTCATCAATAATGTAATTCACCTTCCGAACTGGTATTTAAGTGATGATAATAATAATGTAGGCAGAGAAATAATGTTCCTGTCCTTTCTCTACAAATCAGAGAGAGATGGAGCTGCTGCTGCGGCCCTTGTAGTTGTGGGTCGATCTGCTGAAGAGGCTCGATATAACTGATCCCATGCCCCCACTGCAAGCAAAAGGGGCGGGTCTATATGTTTAGAGTTTAGTTTATCTGTAACTATTTTAGTTGTATTATCTGTTTAGGGTTTAGGGATTGAGATATACTGATTTTCACCGGTCATATGTGTCATTTTGTATCTACTACACTCATAACGTGATACTGTTGTTAACATAATGTCATTTGGGGAATGGTTGAAGAACATGCAATGAGGTATATGTAGTAGCTAGGTTAGTGTTATATAAAACTGTGGTTAAGTTTACTTAATTTTGTCTAAAACTTTAGGTCTAAAACACAAGTTAATTAGAAGAAATATAAGTTGGTGGCACGTCACAACACTCCTTACAAATCCAGCTACTAAGTTACCGTTATTCGAATAACGAATCACTCATTTAACGGATTAGCACAGAAAAATAATATCTCAAGACTCCATCAATAAAAAATGTATCAAAATACAGAATATCTCCAAGTTGGAAAGAAGCTAGTTTTATTTCCTAATCACCCTAGTGCATCATGTTCAGGAGAGGAGAGTCTTTCTTTTGTTTTTGAGAATTAATTTTAGCACAATCATTTTTCTTAGGCGTCTTAAGCCAAAATAGTCACTTAAATTTGGCATAACTCCTAACTTTGGTCTCTGAGATTTGAAATTGATATAAGTGGTCCCTGAATTTGTCAACCATCAATCATTTTGGTCATTCCGTGAAAAATCTCTGTTAAACAAGGACCAAAATGATAAAAATATTCTCAATTTAATAAACAATGGGCCAAAATGATTTGACAA